TTTATTGTAGAGATGAGGTCTCGCCAAGTTGCCCAGGCAGGTCTCGAACCTGCAGGCTCATGCAATCCACTCACCTCAGCCTCCCAAAGTGCAGGATTACAGGCTGAGCCACTGAGCTTGGCTTCTTTCTAATATTTTAAAACTTTAAAATTTTTTATTTTAGGCCAGGTATGATGGCTCCTAGCACTTTGGGAGGCTGAGGCGAGAGGATTGCCTGAGCCTACGGGTTTGAGACCAGCCCAGGCAAATTGGCAAGACCTCATTTCTACAATAAATCAAAAAATTAGCTAGGCATGGCAGCACATGCCTGTAGTTCCAGCTACTTGGAAGGCTGAGGCAGAAGGATTGCCTGAGCCCAGTAGGTTGAGGCTGTGGTGGCTGGTGCGTGTCACTGTCCTCCAACCTGGTGACAGAGACAGACTCCAACTAAAAAAAAAATTATTTTATTTTTTAGGGACAGTCTCACTTTGTCACCCAGCTTGGAGTCCAGTGGCACAATCATAGCTCATTGCAACCTTGAACTTCTGGGCTCAGGTGCACGCTACCATGCATAGCTAAAATATACTTTTAAAATATTTTGTTTGCTTGTTTTTTAGTTCTAATCCTACAATTCGTACGCAAAGTTAGTACTATCTTAGCTCAGTACTACTGACCTTAGTACTACTAGTTATGGTAGGTTTTAAGAACATAATCATAAGTGCAGAGTAAATATAATTTTTTAAAAGATAGTCTTAGGAAAATAATGTATTTTAGACTCTGAAAGCTCTTTCATTGTTTTAAGTTTTAGTAAGATAAATATTAAATCATGGTAGAATTATGTTCTGCTTTCATTTATTATAAATTAAGGGAAAATTAAGATAAAAAGTAATGAGGCCTTCAACTATAATTTACTTGTGACAGATATATGTACTAATATGTTACCTTACATTTGAAGAATGTTGTATCAATAGAAGCTATTTAAAAGCGTATCAGCTGGGCTCAGTGGCTCAGCCTGCAATCCCATGCCTTTGGGAGGCTGAGGTGAGTAGATTGCCTGAGCCCGCAGGTTCGAGACCTGCCTGGGCAGCGAGACCTCATCTCTACAATAAATCAAAAAATCAGCCGGGCGTGGTAGCGCATGCCTGTAATTCCAGCTACTTGGAAGGCTGAGGCGGAAGGATCGCTGGAGCCCTGCAGGTCGAGGCTGCAGTGGCCGGGAGCAGCCACTGCACTCCAGTCTGGGCGACATAGTGAGACTCCAACTAAAAAAAAAAAAGTGTATCAATTTCATTTTGGCTTAATCTCTTAGAATAGTATCTCTAACATTATGATGTTAACAGGTCTTCCTGGCAGGACTGTGGTGGGTTTTTTTTTTTTTTTTGGATCAAGTATACTTGCTCTCTTTTGGAGATATATAACACGCATTATATATTAAAGACTCTAAGAAGTCAGTTGCTTATCTTTATTTAAACCTTTTACTTCTCAGTATGTTTGACCAGAGAAATATTTTATCTATGAAATACCTATTGACCTGTCCCAAGGCACCTGGCTTGAGAAAGGTGGTCTAAAGAAAGGGAAATAAGTCTTTCAAATAGTTTTGATTATTTATATGTTCTTGTAATTGATTATATAGCTCCTGTTTCCTCCTTTACTGGAGGGGAGCAGCTTGGTTTTGCAGGTATTTTGTTAGCTTTCTTAAACCATAACTTCCTCTGTCAGTCTTTTCTGATATAGGGTAGCAGAAAGAGTATGAACTTGATATAGAGACAGAAGTAGGATCAAATTCTGGTTCCATCATCTTGGGCAAATTCTTCTCTCTCTCTGGTCAGATTTCTTACTCAAAGCCATACAGCATATCACAAGAGACAAGGGTGGTGCTTTGACTCAGTATTTTTTCAAGTAGACTGACATACATGGTTGAACTACTTTACATGTAAAATGGCCTGGGTGGATTTCACAGTATTATTTTAAGGATTAATGAACATTAAAGTACCCAGTACAATGACTTGCCCCAGAAGTTCCTATTCCAAAATTCCTTGAGGATCTGAAATGGCCAATTGGGATAAACATAGGATTGATGTCTTTGAACTTGACTTGGGATCTACTAACTCACTCCCCTGCTTCTTTCATTCGGAATTCCTCCCTTGCCTAGTTAAGAGACTACAACACACCTGGGGAATAATTTTTTTTCATCTTGCCTGATAGAGTACCTAGTATTAAACGGATTTTTATTTTCTTAGAACTTTGGGAAGCTTTAGGCTTCCCTGTCTTATGTTCCCATAACAGTTGCTACATGATATTTATCTTATCTTATGGTAATTCCTCATTTTCTTCCCTGCTTGACTGGGAGTCTTTTAAGGTCAAAGACAGTTTGTTTCCTGCTATACACACAAACCTAGTACCTCTAGGCTGGGTAAAGAGTAACCCTTCAACAATTATAGAATCCTTAATCAGTTATGATAATTAGGATCCCTAAAATCGTTATTATGAAAAATATAATTCTAAGATGAAGTGTTTTAATATATTTATATTAGAAGCTATTGGTAAAAAACAAGGAGTTAAATTTACTCGAAATCCTAAATATAAGCGCTATGGAACCAATAGTTGCTATTAGAAATCTTAGGCTGATACGGTGATTTTTCTGAGATATATCCAATCATTAGGATAGAAATTACAGGCTGGGTGCGGTGGCTCAAGCCTGTCATCTCAGCAATTTGGGGGGCCGAGGCGAGTGGATTGCCTGAGCCCACGGGTTCGAGACCAGCCCGGGCAACTTAGCGAGATCTCATCTCTACAATAAATTAAAAAAAAAAAAAAGAAAAAAAGAGCCAGGCGTGGTAGCGCACACTTGTTCCAGCTACTTGGAAGATTGAGGCGGAAGGATCGCCAGAGCCCAGCCTGGGCGACAGAGTGAGACTCTGACTCAAAAAACTAAAAGGATAGAAATTACATAATAGGCCGGGCTCGGTGGCTCAGCCTGTAATTCCATGCCTTTGGGAGGCTGAGGTGAATCGATTGCCTGAGCCCGCGGGTTCGAGACCCACCTGGGCAACTTGGCAAGACCTCATCTTTACAATAAATCAAAAAAAAATTAGCCGGGCATGGTAGCATGCGTCTGTAGTTCCAGCGACTTGGAAGGCTGAGGCAGAAGGATCGTCGGAGCCCAGCAGGTCAAGGCTGCGGTGGCCGGGAGTGGCCACTGCACTCCAGTCTGGAGACATAGTGAGACTCCGACTCAAAAAAAAAAAAAAAAAAGAAATTACATAATAAATACACTTTCATGCTCCTTAGATAAATTTTGTTATTTAAGAATGACTCGATTTAGTCAAAAGATGCATTCCAGAAAGAATACCTGCAGATTATACTTTTTATAATCTAAACATTAAAAATCTCATCTGATTTGAATAAACCAAACTTCAAATATATTTAAAAAATAAAAATTCTTCTTTGTATTGAGAATGCTCCCACACTAACTTATTATCTGTATTATATACTAAAATTTCTGAATACTGGAATTTATAAAGTGGAGAAAACTACTAACTTGGTCAAACTGAAAAGCTAAGCAATTCAGTACCACTCTAATGTCAAATTAGCCTTTATTTTTGAAAATAATTATTGATAAGTACATAAGTAGTACATAGGGTACGTTATCAAGAGGCTTTTATATAACCAGGAAATAAGAAATACTTACTATTATTTTCTTACAGTCTTTTCCTCTGCATAATTCTGTATAGGTAGAATACTGCACATATATAATCCAGCTTCCAACAAAAACCACCAACCAGGAAAAGAAAAGATATTTCATCCGCACATATGAGAAGCGAGCCTGTGAGTAAAAGAACACAATCATTCATTCAGCACCAAGTCAGCATTCACTGTCCTAGAACATGATGTCTCCCCCTTCTTGGAATAACTCAATATATATTCTAGGCTTTCATATGGCCAATTCGAGAACAAAGTGCACTTTCACTGAGTCCAAACAGCACTGGTCTTAGAAAAGGAAGCTCCTTGGTCCTGCCAAGGAAAAGGGGAACAAAATATCTTTTAAGATGTATAACCTTTCAAATGTCACCATCATCAAAAGCCGCTTATTAGGCACCAGCACGTGCGCCATGCTACCCTGGGCACTGTGTAAGATCAGGTAAAGAGAGATACCATTCTCATTTACTGGGAGATTACAAAAGGCGGTGTCACATAGGAATCTAAAAGGTCTTTATGAATAAGCATGATAAAAATAATTTTGTTTTAAAGAAATAAAGAAGCTAGTTATTTGTCTAATATCTCATAGTGACAACCAGAATAAGAAAAGCCATGGTCACTCCTTTTTCCCTACTGTATTCACCAGGGCTTTGTGCTCCTTTTATTCAACTAGCCGTGTCATCTAATAGATATTCTGGAAACAGAGGAGAATGTTACAACCGTTAAAGGAGAAATGATTGGAGAAGACAGTAAAGTTATATTAAGAGTAAATACTCTGTGTGTGAACTTGTACATTGTTTTGCTTTCAGTGCTCTGGTATCTAATTGCAGCTTGGGCTGGCTGGTGCCTTTTCTTCATCAACCACACATCACACAGTTTACTCTTCAAAAGTGACAGCTGGTCAAGATCATTTGACATTTTTGTCTGGGGTCTGGAGCTCCCATGGTCGAGTTTTACAAACAGTAGAATTGAGGACTACGAAGAGAATTGAGCAGAATACATTCAAGATATGTAAACAAACAATGAAAAGCTAGTTCTGCTTTCACAATCACGAGCCAGTTTCTCACACGGGGAAACGGTAAGATACTGTGAGTGCTGTGAGCAGGCAATGAAAGCAGAAACAGATGAAAGCGGCATCAGTGCACCTGCAGAAGACAATGAACACAAAGGAAAAAGAGACTCAGGAAATACTGAGTTCCGCTGGCCCTATTGATGGCTTAGACATCAGTTGAGGTTAACAGATGGTGAATCCCAGTACCAAAAAGCCTGGGTACGATGGATTCGCGGTTAAATAATAGGTCTTTGAACTTTATTATTAAAATTCAAAAAGTTCCTGTAATGCAAGATCTTTTTCTATCATCCTCAATGAATTCAGTAAAAAGAAAAATGCAGATAGAACTCCAAATTAAATCACACAAATGACAATGGGGCCTATAACAAGGGTTTGTTTGAAAGACATTTCAGATTACTTGGCCCTAATAAGAGGTCTGGTCATCAGACAGAAATTTACATGCACTAGTATTGTTAGCCTAAATAAAATTAAATGACACAATGCCTATAGCAAATAAGCACGTTGCTAGGCACATAGGAAATATTCAGCAAGTGCTAGCTTAATCATTTTGCAACTCACTGAGAAAGAGGCCAATAATGCTGTCAGTGGCTGTCACTTTCTTTTTAGACTTGCCAAAAAGACAACTGAATCTGATCAAGCCTTTTAGTTCCAACTACCCATTTACAGGAAATACAAGAGACAGAGAAACACCAGTGACACTTAAGTAAATGACACTTCAAGGATACAATCAGCAAACTCCAGGCTGTGGGAAACATTGCGAAACAAATAACCCAGTTTCTTCAACAAATAAATCGTAAGGGAGGAAAAAAAGAGAGGAAGGGGAAACATAAGATTAAAAAACACTCCAGGAATACGGCAAATATTCACAACATGTAGATCTTTTTTGAGCCCTGATTCAAATAAAAACTATTAAAAAAAGATGACATTTATAGGACAATTGAGAATTTGAAGAATGACAGGATACTTGATGATATTGAAGGATTATTTTAATTTTCTTTTTTTTTTTTTGAGTCAGAGTCTCACTCTGTCGCCCAGGCTGGAGTGCAGTGCCATGCTCACGGCCACTGCAGCCTCAACTTGCTGGGCTCAGGTGATCCTTCTGCCTCAGTCTTCCAAGTAGCCAGAACTATAGGTGCGTGCTACCACGCCTGGCTAATTTGTTGGCATATTGTAGAGACGGTCTCACCAAGTTGCCCAGGCTGGTCTCGAATCCCTGGGCTCAGGCAATCCTCTCACCTTGGCCTCTCAAAGTGCTGGGATTACAGGCTTGAGTCACTGCGCCCGGCCCAGAATTATTTTAATTTTTTAGGAGTCATGATGGTTCTGTGTAATATTCAAATATTTTGCTTTTCTCTTGTCTCTCAACTAGCTACATTTTTCTTTTTTTAGATTGGAAAATATAATTTATTTAGAAAGTAAATTAGAGAGAGAGAAGAGACAGGAGATTCACCTCCCCAAGGTAGGAGAGGGAGCCAAAGCTTAGGAAACATGGTGGCTGTCATAGCTCAAAGAGCACATGGGCACACCAGAGTTTAGTAAAGCAATGGCCCTGGCTACATTTTTCTACTTCCTCTGGCATATGTTTAAACTAAAGAACACCTTGTGAACTGGCTTGCCCGATGACTGCTTGCCATGATAAAGAATGCCAAAAATTTCAGAGAGGAAGTTAGACTACTGACGTTCCCAGCAGGACACGGCACATCACCTGTTGTAGACATAATGACAAAATGAGTGAAACATGTTTTTATTCCAGTGTGCCAGGAAAAAATTGCTCTGATTTGGGGATACCACAAAGTAGTAAAAGGACCTTCCTGTGTCCCTTAATATCTCAGATCCTGTGGCCCCACGTTTTAAAATAATGACTGAATAAAGAAACAGACATAAATTACATATGTAGCTATTAGCTAATTTTATTTCCCTGTGTGTTACTCACGAAAATGTTTCTGGTGGTCTGTTGTGTACCAATTACCTAGATAATCTAGCCTTTCATTAAAAAATGTAGTCTGACCTTTTTATTTATGCTGAACTATCCAAAATTACTGCCTAGCAACTCTTTTATTCTGCAGACTTTGTGGCTAGTCACTCATGGTACATTGCTTTATTCCAAATTATACTCCTGAAAAGCACAATAAGAATTTTAGTAAATACACCACGGCAGTGATTCTCGACTGGCGTCAATGTTGCCTCCTAGGGAACACTTGGCAATGTCTGGAGATATTTTTGGTTCCCCAGCTGCAGACTGCTACTGGAATCTCAGGACGGTAGCCAGTGGGCCAGAGATGCTGTTTAATATCCTATAATATGCAGCGCAGCCCCCCAATAACACAGCATTACCAGACCCCAAAATGGCAACAGTGCTATGTTTGAAAAATTCTGTATTATGATTACACAATAAAATGAAAACAAAAGTTATGGAGTTAGAAGAAGTCAATGTATATGACACTATCGTTTTATTTTAAATTAGTGTCTAATTTATTTTAAATTAGTGTCTAATGCATAAACTATTACTAACTTTAAAAATGCTGTAACACCTGTCTGAAAATTATAGTTATAAGCGCTCCTTTATAAGTAGAGTAAATGAATACCAATCTCTTATTGTAATTTTTTTTTTAAGAGACTAAGGTCTTGCTCTGTCACCCAAGCTAGAGTGCAGTGGCATGATTATACATCACTGCAGACTTGAACTCCTGGGCTCAAGTGTTTCACCTGTCCTCAGCCTCCCAAGTAGCTGGGACTACAGGTGCATGCCACCACACTAGGTTAATGTTTTAATTTTTATTTTTTGTAGAGATGAGGCCTTGATGTTGCCCAGGCTGGTTTCAAACTCCTGAGCACAAGTGAGGTTGCCACCTCCCAAAGTACTGGGATTACAGCATGAGCCACCGTGTCTGGCCTTTTACTGGGAAAATAATTTTTTTTTTTAGATTGGAAAATATAGTTTATTTAAAAAGTAAATTAGAGGCTGGGCTCTGTGGCTCAGCCTGTAATCCCAGAATTTTGGGAGGCTGAGGCTAGTGGATTGCCTGAGCCCACGGGTTCAAGACCAGCCCAGGCAACTTGACAAGACCTTGTCTCTACAATAAATAAAAAAATTAAGATTCTGGAAGCAAAGCCTCAATTTCTCAATCAACTCATCTTTGACAAAGCCTCCAAAAACAACCACTGGGGAGAGGAGAAACTATTCAGCAAATGGTGCTGGGAAAACTGGCTGACTGCATGCAGAAGATTGAAACAGGACCCCTACCTATCACCATACACAAAAGTCAACTCTAAATGGATCAAAGACCTAATTGTAAAATCTCAAATTATAAGCATCTTAGAAAATGCAGGAGACATCCTTATGGAAATTGGAACTGGGAACTATTCCTATGTAGAACCCTTAAGGCTAATACCTTAAGAAATAAGATAGACAAGTGGGACCTCATCAAATTAACGAGCTTCTGCAAAGCAAAAGAAACCATCAAGAGAGCAGGGAGACAGCCCACAGAATGGGAAAAAATATTTGCCAACTGTATACCTGACAAAGGCCTAACATCTACGATCTATAAGGAACTCAAACTCGCTGAAAGGAAAAAAACAGCCCCTTAAAAAAGTGGGCAAAAGACATGAATAGACGCTTCTCAAAAGAACATATATGGGCAGCCAACAGACACATAAAAAAATGCTCAGCCACATTCATCATCAGGGAAATGCAAATCAAAACCACATTGAGATGCCACCTAACCCCAGTAAGAATGGCCATCATTAATAAAACAAACAACAACAGATGCTGGTGAGGATGCAGAGAAAAAGGAACACTTCTACACTCTGGTGGGAATGCAAACTAGTGCAACTTCTTTGAAAGACAGTGTGGCGGTTTCTGAAAGAACTAGAAATTGACCTTCCATATGACCCAGCAGTTCCCCCATTGGGAATATACCCAAAGGAACTCAAATCATTCTACAAAAAAGAAACCTGCACATGTATGTTTGTTACAGCTCTATTCACAATAGCAAAAACATGAAACCAACCATGCTGTCCATCGAAGCTGGACTGGATTTTAAAAATTTGGTACATGTACACAATGGAATATTATGCAGCCATAAAGAAGGACAAACGTATGAACTTTGCAGCAACTTGGATGGATTTAGAGTCGATCATACTCAGTGATCTATCACAGAAACAAAGAACAGAGTACTGTATGTTCTCACTCATAAGCGGACCTTAAACAAATATAATACTATAAGAAAGGGATTGCCAGTAGTGGGAAACTGTCAGGGAAGGGGGGATGGGAATGGCAGTTGTGGGAAGCTGCTAGGGGAGGGAGGGGCATACCTCATCAACAAGGGTACCGGTATAATCAACGTTTGTATACCTAACCCTGAATTGTACCCCGCATTTTAATTTTTTTAAAAAATTAGCTGGGCATAGTACTACGTGCCTGTAGTTCCAGTTACTTGGAAGGCTGAGGTGGAAGGATCATGGGAGTCCAGGAGGCCGATGCTGGGGTGGCCATGAGCATGTCACCCCACTCTAGCCTGGGTGACAGAGTGAGACTCCAACTCAAAAAG